GCCACTCGAGGCACTGTTGAGCAGTGGACTGTTGACAGCATACAATAAATGAATGAATGAATAAAGATTATTAACAAAGCATTTCCTTCGTCAATAAAGCACCATCTCATTTCTGTTAAAATTTACTGAAAAGAACGGGCCTGTTTTACAGCAATTGCAGGCTGTTTCGAGTAAATATAAAAATGACTGCTGGATGAACTTTGAAGGAAAAATATTTGTCGCTGAAAGTTACGCCGCTATAAAATAAACAATACATAGCACGAAAGTAGAATACAAGATATAAGTAAAGATTGCGCTCGAAATGCGGCCATTTTGTCAAGCTCAGCAAAATGTTTATTATTTCGCTGGTGCAATAAAAACATGATTACACCAATTAAAATAAAAATAAACATCCAATAATTTGTCCTGTTAACGTCAATTTGTGAATTTCAGCCGTGTTATCGTGTGGGTTTACCTGTTTATTTGTTGGTCAGGCGGGACAGGATGTGTAACAGGATAAACGCGAAATGTCTTAGTGTCCCCTTTATTTTAATTAAATGTCGCTTTACAATAATTACGGATTATCCGTCGGAAAACACCATCTATTTATAACCTTTCATTATTTTATTACGAATCAAAGTGTTATTCGCTACATCGGTGTGGATATTCTGTAAATGTGTTTACTCGTAATACATAAATACACAATATTAAAACAGAGAGATAAGTTGTAAAACGGTATACGTGTTTGGAATGGAATGGACTTCCCAAGTCGCTGAAAAACCACACTGGAAAGGAAGACGTTTATGAAAAATAAGGAAAACCAAATATTGCAAACGGGACTGCCGGGGACGAGATATCATACAGAATGGATTGCAAGGAAAACAGGATTATGCCAACATTTGATTTATAATTGTATTACGCAAAATAGTTGTTTCCGTTCATTGGCCTTACATCATTATTTCGATAAACTGAACAAAGTCAAGGTTAGGAAATGTAAACGTTTTGATAAGCACCGTAGTTCCAGTCAGCGGTGCCGACAGACAAATTAAAAAATGTTGGCCTAACTAAAGTAAGTTAAAAATAACAATTTTGATAAACGGAAAATCAAATTATTTTCTTTAACATGCTTTTTAGGCTTCCGTACCTCAAAAGGAAAAAACGGAACCCTTATAGGATCACTTTGTTGTCCGTCTGTCTGTCTGTCTGTCAAGACCCTTTTTCTCAGGAACGCGTGGAGGTATCAAGCTGAAATTCATATGAAATACTCAAGTCTCTACTGTCCCTTGGAGCTGTGAAAAAATCAAACTTCTAAGCCAACGCAATCAAAAGATACAGCCGTTTATGCCGCAAATATTATGCCGCAAGGGAATCAAAACCTACAGGGTACTTCCCGTGAACTCAGAATCTTAAAATTTGGTACGAAGCAACGTATTATAGCACAGATAAAGGAAAAATTGCGAAACGCTTAAATTTTTAGTTACATCATATAATAAAAATATTTTTAATAATTTTAACCTACGGTTTTGTTCGGAACCCTCGGTGCGCGAGTCCGACTCGCACTTGGCCGGTTTTTTTAATATTCTCTGTGTTATTTTACATCATGTTACTCAACGGTCAATAGTTTACTGCATAACTATAGTTTAACATTGTGATCTTATAGTGTCCAAGGGGTCTACTATAAAAGAAACTGAATGTCTTTTTGTTGTTGGGTTTTTCTCATAAGAAGCTCTCAGTAGCAGGCCGGAGTCATGAAGTTGACGGCGCATGTAAAGTCGTGTTGGCCCTGTTGCTGTGCCTAACCTCTCCCCGGTCGTGTCGAATTACCGTTCCATCGGAATATCAGAGTGAGGAAATACAGAGTGCAGCTGTGCTCGCGCATACACTCGGGCACTGTAACCCTGCATCCTCCTGCACAGAGAGCTAGTCGCCGTTGAGGCGAGACTGGCCGCCGTGACCGAAATTCGGCCTCCAGGAGATTATTATTACAATTATTTTTTTACAGAATAAGGGAGACAAACGTGCACACAGTCCAGCTGATGGTAAATGGTTGTTGTGGCCCATAGATATCTACATCTATCTTCGATTACGAATCAAAATGCAGATGCGTTGTCACCCGTGAGGACTAAGATGGAATGCCTCGTTTCCAGTAAAAACGGGTCTCCGGTTCTCTACACTCACCATACGAAACACAGCAGCGTTAAGCTGCTATTTTACGCTGGTATTCTGTAAGAGCGTGATCCTTCCCCGGTCGAGCCGACCCATTCGTGCTACTATACTATTAATACAGCTGCAACATGGCTCTACCACGTAAAAATTATTATAAAAAGAAATAATTAATAACCTTTTGCTAAGTATTAATATAAAGTGATTTTATTGCATTTTATTGAATATTTATTTATATAAAAATAAATCCAAAAAGTCAATAAAATGTGCCACTGTTTATGTATATTTTAAAAATTGCGTATTCATTATTTAATCATGTTTTCTGAATCTTATCTCAATTTCGTAAATACTTCAGTTTTATTTGAGCAAAGAAAAGAGCACCTAGTCAGTGCAGTCAGTGCAGTCAGTGCAGTCATGTCAGTCCTTACTCCTACAGTATAAATAAGCTAGCTTGCTTATAAATATATATATATATAAATAGGTACTCTAAGCTCTTACGATATTAACTGGGGTTAAAGTATAAAGTTGCCATTTTAATGGTAGTTTTGAATTAAAACAATTTATTTGAAGTATGTGCGGATTACAAATGGGTCGCTACATGTGTTATTTATCATTAAAATAATATAAAATTGAATTGAATTATTTTATAAGCAGTAATAGTAGCTATAAGTACGCAGGCTTCATAGCTCAAAATAACTCTAACTATAATGTCATCATCATCCTTACAGCCTTTCATAAGTCCACTGCTGAACATAGGCCTCCCCCAAGGAATGCCACAAAGCACGGTCCTGAGCCACCTGCATCCATCGACTTCCTGCATGTCTTACCAGGTCGTCACTCCATCTCGTGGGGGGTCGCCCTACACTTCGCCTACCGGTACGAGGCTGCCTCTCAAGAACCTTTCTTCTCCATCGGTTGTCGGTTCTTCGAGCTATATGGCCGGCCCACTGCCACTTCAGCTTACTAATCCGTTGGGCTATGTCGGTTACTCTGGTTCTACTGCGGATATACTCATTTCTAAGTTTATCACGCAGAGAAACCCCGAGCATAACCCTCTCCATAGCTCGCTGAGCGACCTTGAGTTTCCTCATACGGCCAGCAGTGAAGGACCACGTCTCAGATCCGTAAGTCATCACTGGCAACACGCACTGGTTGTACAATTTCGTTTTCAGGTTTTGAAGTACGTCTAACGAGAAGATGTGTCGTAGTTTCCCGAACGCTGCCCAGCCGAGTTGAATCCGTCGATTGACCTCTCACTCGAAGTTGGACTTACCTAGTCGGACTATTTGTCCCAGGTAAACATACTCGTCAACAACTTCGAGCTTAGTGCTCCCAACAACTACCGGCACAGGTTTGACGTGGACTATAATGTAATGTATGTTAAATAAATAAAATGTTACCCGCATGGTCTGAGATTCGTGATTAAAACTTTTTTGACGAATAGGCAAAGATATGATGGGATTTCGGACAGAATTGTGGCGTGTACTGAAAAGTGGATTCTCTACGAAATCATCATCATCATTACAGCCCTTCACAAGCCCACTGCTGAACATAGGCCTCCCCCAACAATGCCACGAAGCACGGTCCTGAGCCACCTGCATCCATCACTCTACGATAAAAGCAAGGGAATAACACTATAGCTGCACCCTGGTCAAATGCCGTGATAATATCCTAAAGTAGAGTTCACCCACAGAAAAATAATAGCAACTGGTTGATGGTCTCTTCATGGTATAATTCACTACAGCATTTTAAGATCCAGTATCCAGTGTATCAATAAAAGCAGATGTGAATTATGAACAACTTTAAATAATGATGAGACTCAAAAAAACAACCCCGACTCGTCCATCAACCTTTGGCATTATTGGCCCATGTTAAAGCAAGACCTCGCGCTGCTCGACAGATCGTTTTAACATTACAAGACGTGGCAGTTAGCAATCGTACGTCACAGGCCCAATCAATTGTATCATTTCTTTCGCAATTCGGACAATTTTAAGGGGAAAAATTGTCCTCAGGAAGCGGTGCTGTGACCCATTGACATCTATATTTATCATCAATTAAGAATCAAAATGCAGATGCGTTGTCACTCCTGAGAACTAACATGGAATGCCTCGTTTCCAGTAAGAAGGGTTCTCTACACTCACCATACGAAACACAGCAGCGTGAAGCTGCTATTTTACGCTAGCAAACTATGCGAGCGTAGTTCTTCCCCGGTCGAGCCGACCCATTTGTGCTACAACCATAATATAGCTGCAGCATGGCTCTACCACGTATAAAATGGCTTTATGACTTTGTGTAGTCTAAATTCCCAGAGTTCTATCGCGAAGGCATATATAATATTCTCTCGAGATAGCAGGTAGATAATGAGGGTAAAGACTTTGATATATATGTGTATACTATTTTAAAAAAAGGATTTTATCAACATAAAACGGCAATTTTATTATTTAGCTATTAATTACTTATATCAGTTTGTATGACGCTACGGCATGTAAGACATGCGTCAGTTGTACTTGATGTTTAAATGATGAAATTTATTATTTTGATAAAAAGCATTAGTAGTTCACACGAAGTTGCAGTAACTTTTATACCACTCATTAAACAATTCATTTTCTAATATCATAATTCACATTGCGAGAAGCGAATTGCAAGCATCAATAAGCAAGTTCACTTCTGTGATGTTAACAGTAGACGATTCAGAGATTTCAGATTCCATGTTTTACAAAAGATCACATATTAATTAATAATCTAGTATTTAGTCCCTCTTTTATTAATAAAGTTTAATGAGCAGAAAGCTCTAAAATAAAAATATTAATATCTACATGACTACGGAATACTTGTTCAGAAGTGTAAGAGATACGTACCTGGTGTCCAGCGGCGGTCGTCTGCCGTGACGAGGTCGACACCGTCGAATAGTTTTTGTGCGAACTCATCCACATTGTCGCATTCGGGCAGGCGGCCCGACAGTCCCGTCAGCACCACGTCGTCGGCGGCCGCTTCGGTGCCGTTCACCACCGCGCCGGGCATCGTGCACTTGCTTGTCAACGGCTATCTGCAACCGAACGATCGTCGTCAGTTACACGCAATTTCAACTCGTATCTCAACTTCACGGTCCGTTAGCAAGTCGCGGTCGACGCCCGTTCACCTTTAAAAACGACACCGATTTGCCCTCGATTCGGGAACGCGATTCAAAGAGCGTGTGGCACGGTCGGACACGAGGTACTGACCGGGCAGAAGTGTACGCGGAGAGTGAAGCTGCGGCGACGCGGCGAACGGTTAAAAGAGCGCGATAGCGGGGTCTCGACCCCGCCTCAAGTTTCCACGAGACCCCGGTCTCAGCTTATCGCAGCGCAAGGACGAGCAAGGTCGTGGCTCTTCCTCGTCGCTCGCGCGGAGTTGAATGTGGAGCGCGCTGTCACGGCGGCGACACCCGACCAGCCGCCACCAGCCGCGACCAGCCGCGCCCAGCCGCGACCAGCCGACGCACACCTAGCACTCGTCCGATTCGACCTCCACGCATATCGGCGCCAATCGATCTCCTGACCCGCTGATTAATTAGTCATTATGCAAATCATAATATGTGAGAGTGCAAATCACGCGCAATGTACACAGACTCCGCGCCGGAGCGAGATCCCGCGCCGGAAGAGCGGCCCTCGCGCGAACAATACGCTTTTGTGCGTCGATTGCGGCTCGCCGCCCTGCGCCCATTCATCGCGCCCCGTGATGTTGCTTAACTTTATCCGACCAACAACCTTATAATACACCTAATGTATTACTACTACATTGGCACCTCATAACAATTATAAACAACTTTTTACAATTGACTGTCATTTTCATTTCATTATTCAAAATTGAGAAAAGAAGTTCTTCTTTGCCGGATATTCTCTATTCATGTTATCATATCTCATCTATGTCATGCGATTATGATACTCAGAGGTCGGTCATATTTTTGAAGACAAAATATACGTGTATATATAAAATAATAATTTGAAAGACGCTCTAGTTTGTTTGGAAGATTTTGGTTCACTCGATTGATTTAACACAATAATGGACATTGTAAGTCTTAAAAGGAGGGAAGTTTTTTGGACGAAATAGTTCGTAATGAGGCAAAGACTGGCGGCGAATATCAGTGGAATGCATACTCCAGCTCATTGTGTTGACCATGTACAGGCCAAAATATTTTACAGAGCCAGAAACGGTATCTATATATCACTGTAATAGACAGCAGGTTGGTTAGCCGAATAACTTTTAGACAACATTTTTGAGCTACGAGTATAGTATATGATTTGATTTTGACTTAGCTGGATTAACAGATACGAGGGTGACACTGAAAGTTCTTAGAAAATCAAAAACTGAACAAACTAGCAAATGATTACTTTTATTATATCTTTTCAAAATAGTGCCTATTTACATCCATACATCGCTGCATCCGACGGAACCACTGAAAAAAAGCACTTGAAACTCGTCCTTAGGGGTCTCTTTGACGGCATTATGAAACGCAGCCACTGCCTCATCGGCGTCCATAAAACGTTTTCCTCGAGGTTTTTCTTTTATTTTCGGAAATAATTAAAAATCGCAAGGTGCGAGGTCGAGGCTATAGGGCGAGTGACCCAGTATTTCCACGTCTGACGTCGCCAAGTAGTCGATTGATTGCTTGGCGATGTGCGACGAGGCGTTGTCGTGGTGAAGGAGGATCCTACTGCGATGTCGGTTCTCCCGAACTTTTTCCAAGACAAGTGGCAAATTTGTTGTGTACCACTGTGCAGTAACTGTTTTTCGATCCTCTAAAACAATTGTTGCGTAATGATCTATCCTTCCGTAGAACAAGGCCACCATCTTTTTTCCCTACGCTTCGACCTCCCTTTACTTTAGTTAGCAACTCCTCGAAAGGAAACACCCAGAAAGCAGACTGTGTCTTAGTTTCATGATCATAACAATAAATCCAGCTTTCGTCACCCGTAAGTATGTCGAACACAGCATTTGAGTCACCTCAGTTAAATCTTCGAACCATTTCACGACACCAATCAATCAACACGACGGAGTTTTGGGGCCTCTGTCAAATTATGAGGTATTCACCGGGCACAAAGCTTCCTGACCGCTAAATGTTCATGGAAGATTTTGTGCACTTGACTTGTGAAAATCTGGCGTTAAATTCATGCTGACGTGACACAGACAATTTTCAATTTGCCGCCAAATCGTAAACAAATAGCAAATTAATAAAATACATACACAATAATCTTGACAAAGGGTTCCATTTTTAATTTTTTTTATTATATCGTCTACAAGTGGCCACTTCTAAAAACTTTCAGTTTCGCCCTCGTACTCCAAACGCCTAGACCAATCTTTTACGGCTTCTTATTCTAATTTAACAGTCCAATAGCGTCATGGAGCTCTTCGATAGTTGATTATTGAGTTAATTAAAAGGTCATCAGCACATAGATTATAAATGATATGAACAATTAATAGTAGATTTAATCAAGTTTAACCGTGTTATGTTACCGAGTAACCATGCACTATGTGTAACCGTGTAGAGCACGATACAATATGGGATAGCGGATAGTGTATCGTGTATGACGAGAAAAAAGCGACAGAGGGAAACAAACCAGATGGTAGGCAGGCGTCTTCCCAATAACAACTAAAAATTTTACAACAGCCGTTGCCAACCCGCTTGCCAAGCATGGCAACTATGGCAAATATCTATTACACAATCTGAGGTCTACATTCAGCAGTAGACCTTTGAGAGGCTGTAATGGTGATAAGGTAATAAAAACTGAGAAAATTATCACAAAACTTATACCGCCTTGCGGGACGCCATGATTAAGAGTCAAGAATAACACACTGAGAACTCTTTTGTTCCAGAAAAGAATCAATCTAAGACAAGGGTGCGAATCTTAAATGGGACAGGATAGATAAAAGGATATCATGGTCGACTGCGTTAAAAGCATTAGGAAAGTCAACAGTCATTATAGTGAATTTTTTTCCACCCCTTGTCTGATGTCTTCCGTAATTTTAAGTAATGCCGAGACCAAGAAGAAACAGAATGATAATAGATGAATAGGTTGTTTAAGTATACATTCAATATTTTAATTATTTCATTGATTAAGTTAAAAATTTGTTTCTCAATTATTCTACTATCGTTTCTTGATAAGTTCGTAGATCGATCGACACCTTCGAGGTAGGCACCACAATTACAAATACCACAATGAACAATAAAAACATGGTTCTGTCATTCACATTTCATTGGTGACCAAATTACTAGTACCTGATCTTCCACCTTCACCTTTGGGGATAAAAGGTGACAAAGAACATTTCTCCATGTGACATAGTGACCACCTATCAGGTCAGGTGGAATGTATGCTCATTTAAAAAAAAAACGACGTGAATATTGACGCACCATGTGGAAATTTATTAGTCATTAACTTTGTAGGCGAGGAGTATAGTTGAAGGCTAAGGCGATGGCAGTGTGTAGTGCGCATAACAAGCAGGGTGGAACGTCGCACCGGCACCAATTCATCGGTATGGCTATCGCGTCATTGCATGACCCGCGTCGGTGCCTCGGTGCGAGCCTGCGAGCTACCGCCGTGATGTTCGCGCACAGACGCCGCGCCGCCGCGTCGCGACGCAGTGCCTTCTGGAAGTTAAACGTAGTTAACGCGCCCATCGTAGTTAAATTACTCTGATCTTTTAATCCCTACGGCCTTAATACATTGCGCACTTAGTTACGCCCAATTCTTCCTAATTCCTTTAGTCAACTGCGAGCAATCAAGAAAAGTTTATTATTTTGTAAACCGCGAACGTTATTTTCGACAATCTAACACTGATTTATGTCAGCACTTTGAAGTTTGAGTTATGTTATGTCACTTTATATCGCTTTTGCCTAAAAAAAGTAACAGTAGTAACTCCGCGCCATTTTTAACATGGCAGCTAGTCGCCATGTTAAATATTTGCTTGAAGCAGTAGATTTTTTCTCTTTTTTCTAGTTAACAACTACATAAAGGATCATTTTAATCTGGCTACTAATACTAAACAAAATGTAGTCTGATGAATATTTTACAGCATTTACTCACGAACGCATTCACAATGCTGAAAGGCACATACTACGTTAAAATGAACTCTAACCTACTTTTTAATATATTATGCCAATTCTTGACATGTCTACAATCCCATAAATGATGGTCTGTCTTAGGCGGAAAACCCTAATTGAGTATACAATGGAGGCGCCTCGCGCATTGAACACCGTTTTCACCGTATATTTTGATATGGCGATGAGAAACGAGCGGACAGTCCACCCGATGGAAAGTAGATGCTGTGACCCATAGACATCTATCTACATTTATCCTCGATTAAGAATCAAAATGCAGATGCTTTGTTACTCCTCAGAACTAAGATGGAATGCCTCGTTTTTAGTAAAAAGGGTTCTCTACACTCACCCATACGAAACACAGCAGCGTGAAGCTGCTATTTTACGCTGGTATTCTATGAGAGCGTGGTCCTTCCTCGGTCTAGCCGACCCATTCGTGCTACAACCACAATGCAGCGTGGCTCTAACACGCAAAAAGAGTTTTGCCGCTCTTTTACTTTATTATTAGTAATTAATTATAGTAACAGCACAGTTTAAAGATACATAGTTAGTTTATTATTTTGTCTTTATTATTTCGTTTGTTATGTTTCTCCACCCGCGTACATCCAATGTCTTTATTCATTAACAATAAATTGTGTACGAATACTACATCAATGTCATTATTATATTGCTAAGCCTTAACTTAGTTAAACAAAATTAAATTAAAATTAATTAACTATTAAATGTCATTGTACCTTTCTCAATTATATAATTATTAATTATGCTAATACATAATAACAAGTCCTAAAATTAAAAATTTCCCACTGCCACGGGAATGAGCCTGGCGTCGAGCGCTTTATAAAGTGAAGTTTACAAGATAAGAGTATTAAGCGGGGAATTCACTTGACGGACATGCCCGGGGGCATGTCTGTCGACATGCCTGCCGGACTTCGCTACTATAGGTTTG